AAAGAACGATACCATTACTGTTCAGAAAAACAAAAATAGGAAACTAGAAATGAAAATGTAATTTCAATCTTTTTTTTCGGTATTTTAAGCACCGATTGGAAGATAAAATTAAAGCCGGAAAAACCCCCCAAAGGCTCATTGAATATCTCCGTAAAAATGCACACAAATGGACTAAAACGAGAGCAAGAATAAAAATAAGTGGGAGAAGAAGAAGAAGAAGAAGAAGAAGAAGAAGAAGAAGAAGACGAAGAGGGAGAAGACGAAGTAGATGGCGAAGAAGAAGATCCGTTTTCTAGACGGCTATCAAATGTGATGAATGTCATTTAAAAAAAAATGGAAAAAATTCTCCCCACCTTAAAAAAAATGTTCCTTACAATTCTTTTTTTAATTTAATGCTGCTGCTGCTAACTTTTCATATCATAAGAAGTAAGAACACTTAGTGTTCGATTATCCTCTTTCTGTTCTTGACAGCCAAATTTTAGACGTAAAAGAAACTGAGATTAAAAAAGAAAGAAAAAAAGAAACAGTGCTCAAACTTGAAAAATTTAAGCCTATTTAGCACTGTGACGTCAGTAGCCAAAAAAAACCTACAAAGCTTCAGCAAAACTAGTCAAAAGAAATAAATAAAAAATAATGAAAAAATAAAAAGAATGTTATGAAAGCGAAAAAGATGAAATATTTTCAGACATAAAAAAACCTTGAACAGGTTAATCTTTTTTTTCCCCTCCGCCATTTAATTCAAAGCCTTCTTTTACCTATTGGTCACAAATCATTCTGTTAAATTTCCATTTCAGAAACCAGTGCTCGTAGATTTTTCTGGTTATCATTAGTTCATTTACAAATACTGAAGTGTGGTCAGCTAGAAATACGTTTTTTTATGTGTTCTGTTGCCAATAAATAAAAATAGCTGACAAAACTTGATTTCATGTTGTTCTTTTTTTTTCTTGTTTGTCTTTTTTCTTCCCTGTAATTGTTCGAACTTTTGCAAAGGTGTCATCCATCACTGGGAATCGACGGACAGTTACATTAATTCCACAGTTGCTAAATCGTCTGCAGACATTCTACTGTTCAACTACCAAACTTATGTAAATCTAGTACCCGTAATGATCAAACACCGCTCAATTAGTCAGTTTCAGAGGCGCTGTAGATAAACTGAACAAAAACTGCACATTTTTTAAGTCATTCACTATTGTATCTGTTTAAAAGAGTTGGAGAAAAAACAGAAAGTTTAGATAGAATTTTCGTTTTAAGCCAAAGTTTTCAAACTGCACTTCAAAAGTGTCGTATCTAAGGTAGCCTACTGCATTTTTCCATCATACCGTAGAATGAACAACTGTTGATATGACTTCAAAAAAATATTTTCTATTTTTTACAACATTAAATATAACATGAAAATCATTCAAACAAACTGTTATTGCTGTTCTTTTTGTTGCTGCTGTTGTTGCTGTTGCAGTGGCTGGGTAATAGTAGAAATATTAGAAACAGAAGTAAAAAATTTTCGCATTTATCCTGATTTAAAAAAAAAATAAAAATAAAACATTTTATGTGGGTCGAACAGCAAACTATGCATTTAGGACGACAAACTATCTGTGTTAATAAAAATAATTATCAAAAATGTTATGTTTTCAAATTCAACCGCTTTTATCGCATCAAAAAACCGTTCTGATCGGGTGGAAAAACAAAAACCATAACCAATCACTAAGCATATAGTCGTATAACTGTCACACAATCAGTCAATTTAACCACAACCTTGACGCTTCTTGCAAAATAAAAAAAGAAATTTACAGACCAAAAATTTTTTATTCATACTTGTTCAGATCAAAAGCAAAAGTAAAATAATTTGTTTATATAATATTTATTTGAAGGAAAAAATTTGATGAAAAATTTTTCAAACTAAGCAGTAATTATTGCAAATTCCCAATAGTTATGCCGCATCATCCAATTAATCACCAATTTCAAAATACTATTAGTGCCCTTCACACCTCTACCGAGTAAAAACTATCAAATCTGTGGGACAACTTTTTTTGGCTATAGTTATTTTATTGACAACAGAAGTTGAAAAAAATGAACTTGACGAATGGTACTTAAATGTAATGTGTCGAATTTCTCGCTGCTGTACACACTTCGCCCTCTGCCCTACTTGACTTTCGTAACTAAATGTTGGTTATCGTTGTCTAAAAAAAACTTGAAGAAAAGCTCCACTAAGAAAAGCCTTTTTGATGGCTAAGTCGAACTGAGCATTTGACAATGTTATGATTTATCAATCCTCGACACAGATTTTAAAAGCGCTATAAAAATCAATACGTCTTGAAATTTCCCTAAACATCTTTATTGGGTCATGAACCGTATTTTCTTTTTTTTGTTTCTACATTTTAAACAAATGACAAATTTCACAGCATTTAGCCTTTTCAAAGTTCAATGTGCAACTTTCCAGGTTATAACTTTCCAGAAGCTTCTAGTCAACTGTTTCCCTAAACACAGTGGCAACAGTCGCCCTAACGATACAAAAAGAAACCGTTTGTAAAATGCAGAAAATCTGACGCAAACAAATCAATAACGACACTGGAACACCTATCCTCAATTTCATGGCATCATCCCCACAAGATAATTAAAAAGCCCAAAAACTTTGAAAGAATGGGAAAAACAGTATCTGCTGAAGAAATTCAGTAAATGCTACACTTCGGATACGTGAAATGTGCTGCGGTGAGAAAAACGGGATGAACGGAAAAACCACTTTGACCACTGAATACCGATGTAGACCACGTTGAACAAAATCGCAACTGATAATCGTCAACAATATATTGTAATTAAAAAGAGGGGTTCTGAAATACGCTGTAAAAGCGTAATAAAAACAACAAATAATAGAAAAGTTTGAAAGTAAAGAAAATTGTTCTTTGACGAAAGTGTTATTTACGAGGGGCTACGAAAGGCCCGCAAATTATTTGGGTCATCAAACCATACGCCGAGGATAGCAGGTCAACTGTTTTCTGGTGGCATCTATTATGTATGAACGCCCTAAAATAACATCGTAACTAAAATTATCTACTAATTCTACTCCTTCTGTTCAATTGGTACACTGGTATACAACTGATCGCGGTTGATGCATCATAAAATGGCTTTACTGATGGTGTTTCCATGAACCCTATGCAGCACTATTTTTAGAAGAATGAAAGAACGGATATTTTAACCTTAACTTATGAAAGCTTATCAATTAACACAGAACCTCACTCCCCAGCAATGTTCACATGAATAAAAGCAATATAGTACCTTCACTTTACAAGCACAAAAAGTCGTGTGCACATGTCACTCTAATCCCTTTTAATGATGATAACTTCTTGTTCAAACTCACAATTCAAACGTTGAAGTAATTACTTCAGACACAAAGCCAACAATGTGCTGTGAAAACTTTATTCCATACCGGCAGAAAATATAATTATCAAGATCTAGGAGATTGAAAACACAAGCAGCGCAAGCTCTGCCGATGAGCATCTTAAACATAACTAACCTAAGTTAACTCTAAGTTCACAAACCATCACTTCATTTGTGAAGATGCGATATCAAAACCAGCGGTTTTTCTTATTCATCATTAATGAATTTCTCTGGTTTCTTCCGATAGATGCTTTCATTCTTTTTTTCCGCCCACTTCTTCAAGGGATAAAACGATCCAAAAAGTGGGATCACAAACCAATACTCTCGTAAATAGAATTTTGCAACCTTAAAAAAATTGTTTTAAGTAATATTGAAACCTTGTACCCAAAATATCAGAATCTGCACATAACATTTAAAGCAACAGATTACCATCAAATGCTATTATAAGGCACTTTTTTACAGTTAAATAGAATCAACACTCACCCCAAAGGTTAAAAAACAGTTATTTACTCACTTTGAATACAGACTCATTCAGGAAATTCTTCCAAACTTTTTGCTCATTTGGCGCAAGAGCGAAACGGTATTCTCCATAAACCTAAAAAAAAAGCCACCAATTTTTGAACAAACATGAATTTTTCACTGAAACTACTGAAAAAAAAAAAAAAGGAAAGAACCAACTCCGAAATATCAACAACCACAGCAACACTTTGAATAGCGCACTTTAAAAAACCCTAAAAATTACTTTTCCCAAATTACCAAAGTGTTTCGCGGTCCTAACCGTCGAAAAAAGCATGATTTCCGCTAATCTCTCCAATCCTGAAAAAAATCGACAGTTGTGTAAGTTATAACTCGGAAACAATAGTAAAATAGGCTTTGCTGTTTAAGGACAATTGTACAACAACAGCAAAAAACCCCACTAATGACAAGCGATTTCTGAGCATTAGGTTGCACAGTATTCAGATTGACTAATAATGTAAATTTAAAAACAACACCTTTCAGATTAAGTAAGCTAACTCATTTAACATAACAGCTTAGAAGTCTCTCTTGAAACCTTGCCTCGGAAAAAAAAACTCGAATATAAACTCTTAAGGAAAAGCTAAACAGTACACAACTGAGGGTAAAAGGCTCTGTTATACAACGATGACGACAGAAAAAAAATTTGTATTACTACGAAGAAGACGAACATTTATAGAGGAAAAAATCATGTCTCCATATGGATAAAAAAATTACATTAAGAGAGAGTATATGCTTGAGACTCCAGTCCCTGAATGCTTTAAAAAGCCGCTCACAGTATGTCAGCACTCTTTCGAGACCTTTCCATACTGCTCCAAATTGCCGTTCCTCGAAACCTTTCATAAAAATTGACCAAAAAAATGATGAACAACTCGAACCACTTTTTGTAGAGTTGAAGTAAATGGCTCCGAAGAACCAAAACCATACTTAAAGAATTACGACCTAACAAGGTTCAACAAGAATCACCCTCGTGGTTTGCCAACGTCATTTACTGATTTCTTAAACACTATATTAATAACACTATTCTAAATAATCCTCCTCGCATGGTTCAAAACATCGTTATCTGAATGGCCCCGTTAACAAGCATACTGGAGAGCTACAGTAATAGTGAACGTTAAAAGTTGAAATAACAAAATTGGCAGGAAAGCAAAACTAAATAAGATCAATGATATTCTAGACACTACGACTGTTCTCATACTGTTGGCGACTACTTCAGACTGCTTCTTCCCCACAACAAACACTAATTTCATTCTTAGCCAATATTGTGACCTATTCATTCGCGATTTGCAAATTCTGTCACGGAAGCACTGTACATGCAAGCGTCTTCTTAACATTCTTACAAAGCCACGTAGCTCATAAGTTTTCAAGGTGAAGTCAAATGGAGACCTAAAAAAGCCAAAAATATACGATGCCGAGAACTAGACTTACGAAGAAACGCGTAGCTCGTAACTCGTATAGAAACACACACTCTGTGGAATATTGCCAACTATTGGAAAGATGCCAATGGAGCTTACACAGTTTTCTCAGACGCAGCCGACTCAGCACAAAGAAAGGTTTAACCACCTCCTCGGAATCTGGTTGGTAGGGCTTAAAAGAAGTTTAGAAAGGAATTGCTACTTCTGTTCACAGAGTAATCTACAAAGTGGCGACTGCACTTTTCATCTGGAACCCCAATGAAAAAGTTTCAATTTTTGATTTGGTCGAGGATGGACTATTAGCCGTGTCGTAAACAGCCACCAACTTACTTTGCACAGGCGGAACTGTGAATTCCCCTAATCGCTCCAATAACAAACTGCTGCCCAGCTTGGTGTGCAAGAAATGTCAACAGCCTTCAGTCGGAAATTTGTAATGGATCTCTTAAACTGAAACCCTACTGCTGAAGTTCCCCAAAGGAGTGATAACTGAGCCCCCCTTAGAGTGCTTCAAACTCTTTCGAAAAAAAGCTAAAAGTTAAGGATAATTGAAGAAAAAGTTTTGAAATTTGAAGCAGTAGCGTTTTTTGACTGGGAACAAATCGAATGAACTATCTGTTAAAGACTCATCTAAATCAACTATATAGCGTATGGAGCCCCAGAAACAAAAAACCATCAGAGGTATCTACGAGCAACACAAGTTAAAACCATAATAACATTTCTTAATAAGTAGCTAACTCAGAGGCACAGTGCCCCCCCCCCCCTCGTTCACCACAATGCCGGGATTTCACCATGCACAAAAATACCTCATTCCCGTTTGTCAGATATCCACTTTCATAGAGAGCTTACTATTTCATCACTCCAGACGTTGGTGCAATACGCCAAAGAAAAACAGAAAATTATCATAGACGTGCTAGCCCATAATTATCCACTAAAGAAAACGAAACTGAAACAACAGTCAGCATAAGATGGAATGCATAGGAGAATAAAAAACAATACATGAACTCTTTATATTTTCATCACCACTCAGACTCCCTGACGCTTTCTAAGCTTAAATTCAACTGAAAGAGTCCAATAACTATCAACTTATTTTACTACAAAATGCTGGGTTGGAAAATTGATGTAACAGTAAGCTACTCTAAAAGCTAGCGTTTTAAAATATTTGCGATATAGGCCAAATTCATCGTACATTAATTCACAACCTTTGCAGTTCCTACTTTTTTTTTAAACAGTTGTCCCACCAAGAAGCTGGTCCACCCCACTCGCTTCCTGCAAATTGAACGAAAATATGATGGGGCTGAAACTAGAGAAAAAAAAAATAATAAGTCAAGTTTTCGTTGTAAGAAATACTACTTATTGCAAAACCTATGAAATCAACAAAAATTTATTGCACCTACTAGAAGTCAGATTTTGCCCTTAAGTATGAACGAAAAGACATCATTATTGAAGTATTGGAAGTCACAATTTCAATCGTGCCTTTTACAATCAGAATAAACTAAAATTATACCAACTTTTTTAGTCAAAAGTAACTAGTGACGTCAGAAAAAAATCAAATATTTTATAGGCAATTTCAAATCTAGAAAGATGAATTGCTTGAAGGATGCTAACACTGTACAACGCTTCTAGACTGTTCCTCATCACTCGATTCTCCACGCAAGCTAAATATGAGGTGTTTAATTCTTTACCATCTTTTTAAACAGGAACAGACTTGAAATCATTCACTGCCGATGTAGACGGGGTTACTGCTGCAAACCAAAAAAAGTTGAAGGTTAAGTTGTTTTTTAATGCACAAAATGAATCATCTTATTTTCAAGCTAAAGGTTTGGCACAAAACGAGTCTTCAGAGTTAAGTTTTGAAAAGAGTGCTGTTTGCAGATTACTGAAGCACATTCGCTAGCATTCATTGAGCGGTTACGAAATGAAGGATTTCAGAAATTTCATGATTTACTGCCTTTCCAGAGAGGTCAATAAATAGAAGAAATCTGCTATTATCCATTCCGTTTTCTCGGTTTTCGGCTCAATTGCTCATTCCATTTCACTGCAAAATGCGAGGTTGGGAAGGGCGGAGATATTAATAGGAGTTACAGAAAATAATATGTGAAAATTTTTTTTCTGATATAAGGTAAACTTGTCTAATACTTTCAGATTTACACATGTCATTGCTGAAAAATCCATTGCTTCTTTATTCAGCAAATTTATTTGCTTAAAGGTTATAATTTATTTCATATTTTACAGCTGAGGAGAAGCAATAAGAAACGGTAGCAAAAAAATGTTTCAAAAATCTAAACTGGTTTTGATTATAAAGACAGTTTATGAATATAATCCAAAAAAAAAGTATTTCATATTAAAGCAGCTTATAACCACTATAGATTAACCTCACAAAAATGTTTTAGATTTTTCTTACCTCATCTTTGAAATGTGCACGTCTAAAGCATGTAATATTTTTATTGCTTCTTTTATCTTTCTATTTTTTTACCAATACTAAATTTAGAATCTGCTTTCACCTGTCTTCATTTTACAGTTAATTTTCATAGATGATTGGGAGTCGTAACAATCATACAGTTAATCAAGCATATTTTTATGTTCTGCTTCGTGAATCAAAAACTTCTGTTAGAAAAAAAAAAACGAAACAAGAACGTTTAGTTACCAAAAATCGAAAAAAAAAAATTTTTTTAACTCAAACTGTTAAAAGTATTATGAATTCACCAATATCGATGGCAAAAATTTTTGTGGCGTCAATTTGAAGTGGTTTGACGGAAGAAGAATGAGACCTCTGAAAGCTTTCAATTTGACAACTTTGTTCATGTACAAAGGACGACCTAAAACAATACTCTATGAAAATAAAACATAGAAGGAAAAAGAAAAGTACTGAGTGATTCTAAATCACTTGCTTATTGTTTTTATAAGAAGCAAATGATGAAGAGGGAACATTAAAACGTTATTTCTTTATGATAGCCCCTCTGTAGTGAAAGCAGTTTACATTGGTACTGTGCTGCGAAACAATGACAACTGAACAATATTATTACGTATAATTAAGCAAAATGAAGTAATTCAAAGAATATTCAATAAATAGCACGTTGATCAACTGTTTTTAAAGGCTTAGAACAGGCTAGTGCAAGGTACCGAACAGCACTAGTAAATTATTTTGAGTGCTTCAATAAAATGTTCTACTGGTTTGTTCTAAACACTGGAAGATGTGTATTCTCCGGACGGAATAGTCTTTAAATGGAATTGATCGGTCCTCTGCTTAAGTTTATTGGCCATGCTTTGAACATAATGTTCTTGAGCTTGCGTCTCTTTCAGAATCCTTGAATACAAATCAGTGTTTTGCCAGAAGATAACTTTCTTCCGCGAATTTAGATAGTTAAGTTTAAAATATATATAGCAATACAAAACAGTTGATTATAATAAAAAGTAGATATATGGAAGCATTAGCAAACGTTTAGTCGCCTTATTTAAAAATAAAAAAGACGGACAGGCAAAGAAATAAAGCTGTTTCAAAAAAGCACAAAAACTGAGAGAGCCATTTGCAGAGTTAAAAAAATATTCCACTGGCAACACCCGGCCTTACATCTTTCCCTAATTCATAATTAGGCAGCGTAACTTCTTTTATTTTTTACATCTTTGTTGTACTAGTCGTCTTGAATCGTGAAGTATCAAGTTAGTCACTGAAACACGAAGCCAAGCTTTGTAAAAAAAGAATGATCTTTTGCAAAAGGGTGGTCTCAAGCGTTTGAAACTGTATTTTGACAGCTGAGTCGCAATCGATCCCTCCTTCTTACTCAGAGAATGCCAAAAAATAAATTGGCAGTCAAAACGCGACCAATAAAGAAATCAACAATGAACCAACTCCCTGTACATTAAAAGATTCGTAAATTTTCGTCAAAGAACCATATGAGGGACATAAAGAATGACACCTCACACTAAGCATGAAAACTGTTCAGCAGTCTCCTGATTCAAAAAACCCCTCCACTACACCCTTAAGCTACTTGTTTTGGTACACAATGCATTACTCTTTATTACTGTGAGAAATTAAAATTAGCTAACCTTAATTTTGAACAAAAATTTTCACACACTTTCACACATTAAAACATGTTACACCACCAGCTCAGCAAAATAGCAAATTAAACATCCCATGTTCACCAGCATAAAGTTCCCGGAGAAAAATGATTTGTATAAAAATAATGTTGTTTGCAAGGTCAAAACACATCAGAAACATGTGCCAATTTCACTAGACTCCTAAAACTATAAAATTATAACGGATCCCAATACACAGAGAAAAAAAAATAACTTACATCAATGAAAAAAAAAAAAA